TATAGGAGCAGATATATTTCTTTGTCTATATTATATGTTATGATAATTGTATCTATATCAATTTCTAAAAAAATAGGTACCTATACCTACCTACCTAAAATAGTTTATYCCCTATTCRGATTTTCACATATTTTTGTTTAAGTAAAAAAYAACTCAAATAACTTACAYAATTGGTGGACARAAAGGAATAGAATAACATTTGATTTACCTTATAGGTACACCAGTTTTGGTATGCACTGATATTGAACAAAAATCTAACTCTATAATAATGAGTATATAAAACCATTTTCTATATTAATTCGAACAATGCTAAAGTACATAATATAATATTGCACATAGGTATTAAATTAAGTATAACCATGTTCAATGACCTAACCAAAYGTATCGTGTCTGAAAATTAGTTGTATATTTTTCTCGAATCAAGAAATGTGCGAATGGGAGATTCTATCTACGATGAACCTACACTCTAGGTATACCAGTAGTCAGTTATATTTATTGATATATCATCACTAAGCGGCTACTCAATGTCTCAATACCTCCACCATGGTGGGACACACGCTGGCCTTTAGACCAAATGTCATAATGTGCCTATATAGCTACTATATTATACCTACTTAGAACATGAGTCACACGCTAAATAGTATTACTATACTCTTTTGCGATGACAATCTAATATCTTGCATCATAAATAAGTACATAAACAGGCACACTGCGTGCGGGTAATAATTTTCTGATTACTTACCGGCAGCGGCGGCGGCTGCAGCGGCGGCTGCGGCGGCCGAGTGATTGGAGGTGAGCGAGAGCGGCGCTCCACCGTTGTTGTTGGCGGCCGCGGCGGCGGTCATGCCCACGGCAGCGGCCAGTGAGTTCATGTTATGCGGTAGGAACGCCGCGGCCACGGCGGCCTGGGCGTTGAAGTACGCGAACCGACTGGCCACCATCTGGCTGTGGTGGCTGTGGTGATGGTGGCCGTGGTGGTGGCCGTGATGGTGGCCGTGGTGGTGCATCCGGTTGGCGTCCCGGTCAGCGGAGAAGCACGACGACG